GCTGGGGGGGTTTGGAGGGATGGGAGGGGTTTTGGGGGGTCCTGAGGGGATCTGGGGGAGGTCATGAGTGGTTTAGGGGAGGATTTTGGGGGGCCTGAGGGGATTTGGGGAGGTCACAAGGGGATCTGGGGGGATTCTGAGGAGATTTTCGGGGGTCCTGAGAGGGATTTGGGGGCCCTGAGGGAGACCTGGGGGTCCTGAGGGGGTCTGGGGGGTCGTGAGGGGATTTGGAGACGTTCTGAGGGGATTTTGGGGGTTCCTGACTGGGGTACGGGCGTCACAAGAGAATTTTGGGAGTCCTTGTGTGGATTTTGTGCCTCCCTGACTGGATTTGGGGCAATTTTAGGGAGAATTTGGGGTCATTTCGGGGTCCTTGAATGTATTTTGGGGAATTTGGGGGATTTTTGGGATCCCTGATGGGATTTTGGGGTATTTTGGTGCAATTTCAGGATCCCTGAAGGTATTTTAGGATATTTTGGTGCAATTTTTGGGGTGATTTGTGGTAATTTCAGGGTCTGTTCTGGTATTTGGATGTAATTTTGGGGTATTTTGGTGTATCTTGGTTTGAACAGACAGGTGTGTGCTGAGGAAGGCAGGAGACCCCTGAAGTGGAAAATGTGAACCCTCTCCGTCTGAATTGTAATAAATTTGAAAATAAAAGGCTCTCGGGAAAAGATATGGGAGCAGAAATAACAGATCTTTATTTGGGTACAAAAATAAAAGTGAAATAAAATAAAATAATTAAAATTAAAAGAAATATAGAAATCAAAATAAGAATAAAAATACTAATGAAAATAAAAATAAAGTCAGAAATAAAAACAAGATAAAAATAAAAGTAATAAAAATAAAATACAATATAAAATAAAAAATTTAAAATATAGAAATAAAAACAAGATAAAAAGTAAAACAAAGTAATAAACAATAAAAATAAGAATTAGATACAAATAAAATTAAACATTAAAAAATTAAAATAATAAAGATAGAAATAAAAATATAAATAAGATAAAAAATAAAAATAAAATAAAAATAATAAAAAATAAAAAGAAATAAAATCAATATAAAAACAAAAATAACATAAAGATAAGAATACAAATAATAAAAATAAACTCAAAAATAAAAATAAAATAACATAAAAAAAACAGAATAAGAAGAAAGCTGCTCCTCTGGGAATGCAGTGGGCAAAGGCTGCTGTGCTGTTCCAAACCTCGGATGACATCCAGGTAGGAATGCTTGGCTCCTCCCCCTGGGCGGAGCATCTCCCAATGGGATGATGTCATCTCATCAGCCATGCAGTGATGCTTAGTGGCCCGTGAACAGCAAATAATTAATAATAATGCCCCATGAACAGCAGATTAATATATAATGGCCCATGAACAGCAGATAATTAATACAGCCCATGAACAGCAGATAATTAATAATTAACGGCCCTGTCTAGGTTCCAATATAAAATGTATTCTCTCCCCATCCCCAAGAGCTGTTCACACCAGGAGGGCCATTGTTTTATTGTTTTTCCTGATCTCCTGTTCCTGAACCCATCAATTCCATGCACTGAGCAGCAGCTCCCGTTTAAAATCTCACTGATTGCTCCCAGCTTCCCCAAACTTCCAATCCAACACCAAAAAACACGTCACTGTTAAATCTTTCTAGGTCACACACAGATTGTAGTTTCCTGTTTGACAGCTGAGAACAACTCATCCTCCACTGTTAGCAGGTAAACACAATATTGCTTTTCACAGAAAATCAGAGCAGGGGAGCAAGTGAAGCAGGGAGGAAAAGAAAAAAATAATTACCAAACCAGTGGTGATGTTTTCTAAAACAAAACTAAAATCATCCAGCTCCTCTACTCACTAATTTTTCAGAGACAGTTGCAAAGGAAGCTCGCTATCTTCGTGAGGCTTAATTAATTGAAATCTGACTCAGAGATAACTCCCCCCAGGAGCCATTTCTGTCTGATGGGCAATCAAGGACCAATCATAACTCATAGAATGATATCAGCCCTGTGAGATGCTCCGCCCAGGGGGAGGAGCTCAGCATCCCCACCTGGATATAATCTGGGCTTTGGGACAGAACAGGCAGCCCTTACCCACTGGTTTCCAGAGGACAGGAGTTACCAGATCTTTTCTAGGGGATCACCACTTCAGCAAGACCATTTCATCTGGACTGCTACCACTGCCCTAACTAGCAGGGTGTCAGGTTGGATTCTGACTCCGTCAGTAGTTTCATTTTGTACTATTACATATATTTGGGGGGTTTTTTCCCTTTTCCGAATAAATTGTATTTCTGACGTGGAGTTTCTTCCTGGTTTTGCGTTCAAACCAGAACAATTGGCTACTGGCAATGGTTGTTTGGCTTGATTGACCCATTGGATCCACGTGTGTGTTGTGACTGTCTGGCAAGGGCAATGGGTTTCTCTTAGTAGTAAAGTATGGTATAACACAGTGATTGATCAGCCTGCTGCAATCATGGAGCCAATGCTCATTATTCCCCACTGGGGACTGCTGCTACAATAGCGACTGATGATTTTTCTTTCATCACTGGACAGTCCTTTTTCCAATGCCTCCATTTCTTACAGGATGCACTCTGGTCCTTCTCTTGGTGGAAGCTTTCTTGGGCGACTTTTCCTGAGTTGCCTTCCTGCTGGGTTGGGATTAACTCTTTCAGTTGGGCCCCTGTCTCAAAACATCTTCCAGGCAACTTCCAGGAGTTTATCTCTCTCTTGAACTCCCTTTGTCTTTTCTTCTTGTACCATTTGAAGCCAGACCCACACAGAACAAAACCAGGTGTGCTTTACCATCAGCTGATTCAGGATCTAGATCAGTATATTTGATGGCAGTTTCTCTTCACCTGTTTAAAAAGTCAGTGTTTGATTCATCATAATTTGGCCTCATTTGGTAAAGCTTTGACCAATTTACAGCTTTAGAGAACCCCTGTATTAACCCACATACCACCAGGCTTTGATATAATTTCAATTTTGCCAATTGCTCGGGTGCATTTGCATCCCACCCAGGGTTTCCAAGGGGAAATATCTCAGTGACAGCGCCTTGAGGCAGCTCCCTGGCTGTGCTCCCCTCTGGAACGTTGGGATGGCTTTATTGACCACTCGTCTCTCACTGGGGTCAGGTGATGTGTCTGACACAGAGTTCAGATCAGCTGGGGCTGATTCATATAGAGAATATTAATTAATAAATTATTCAATTAGTTTATTTATGTATATGCTGTATGGTGCACACATGAACTGATGGATTACATTGCACCAACCAGCAGCTACAAGGAATCACTGATAATCAATATCAGTATGAAACACCATATCAAATTGCTGCTGATCAATAACAATGAGCAAAAGGCAATACAAAAGTGCAAAAGCCAATGCAGAACTGCAGAAGGCAATTTTTAAATTGTCGTTTATGTCCCGACTCTGCTACAGGCACAGTGGAAAGCTGGAAGCTGCTGAGGGGACTCAGTCACTCCTGTCCCTGAGTGTCCCGAGATTGTCCTCAGAGTGTCCCTAGACTGTCCCCAGTGACGTCACCCCACAAGTTCCCATCAAGATTTGGGACAGTATCAATGAAAATTCCCAGAAAATTCCCCCAATTTGTCTCAAATATTGCACGGGGAGGGGACAGGTGAGAGCAGCAACGTCTCCCATGATGTCACTGCCCCCATGATGTCACGGCAGTGACATCACCATCCCTGAAGCAGATTCAGGATGTCCTCAATGGCTTTTTGGCACTTCTTGGTCTCCACACGGATACTGGAGCTGTTGGCATCAGAACTGAAGATGTTGCTGATGTCATCATGTGTCCCCAGCAGGTGATCCTTGGCCAGGCGGATGTTGGCCACCCACAGCCACTCGGCCATGGCCACCTTGGCTGGCAAGGCCTTGGGGACATTGGGGGACTCCTCCTCTGTCCCCTCCGTGGTGTCTACGATGTCCCTGAGCAGGCATGGTATAACACAGTGATTGATCAGCCTGCTGCAATCATGGAGCCAATGCTCATTATTCCCCACTGGGGACTGCTGCTACAATAGGGACTGATGATTTTTCTTTCATCACTGGACAGTCCTTTTTCCAATGCCTCCATTTCTTACAGGATGCACTCTGGTCCTTCTCTTGGTGGAAGCTTTCTTGGGCGACTTTTCCTGAGTTGCCTTCCTGCTGGGTTGGGATTAACTCTTTCAGTTGGGCCCCTGTCTCAAAACATCTTCCAGGCAACTTCCAGGAGTTTATCTCTCTCTTGAACTCCCTTTGTCTTTTCTTCTTGTACCATTTGAAGCCAGACCCACACAGAACAAAACCAGGTGTGCTTTACCATCAGCTGATTCAGGATCTAGATCAGTATATTTGATGGCAGTTTCTCTTCACCTGTTTAAAAAGTCAGTGTTTGATTCATCATAATTTGGCCTCATTTGGTAAAGCTTTGACCAATTTACAGCTTTAGAGACCCCATGTTTTAACCCACACATCACGAGGATTTGATATCATTTTAATTTTGCCATCTGCTTTGGTGTATTTGCATCCCACCCAGGGTTTCCAAGGGGAAATATCTCAGTGACAGCGCCTTGAGGCAGCTCCCTGGCTGTGCTTCCCTCAAGGAACGTTGGGATGGCTTTATTGACCACTCGTCTCTCACTGGGGTCAGGTGATGTGTCTGACACAGAGTTCAGATCAGCTGGGGCTGATTCATATAGAGAATATTAATTAATAAATTATTCAATTAGTTTATTTATGTATATGCTGTATGGTGCACACATGAACTGATGGATTACATTGCACCAACCAGCAGCTACAAGGAATCACTGACAATCAATATCAGTATGAAACACCATATCAAATTGCTGCTGATCAATAACAATGAGCAAAAGGCAATACAAAAGTGCAAAAGCCAATGCAGAACTGCAGAAGGCAATTTTTAAATTGTCGTTTATGTCCCGACTCTGCTACAGGCACAGTGGAAAGCGGGAAGCTGCTGAGGGGACTCAGTCACCCCTGTCCCTGAGTGTCCCGAGATTGTCCTCAGAGTGTCCCTAGACTGTCCCCAGTGACGTCACCCCACAAGTTCCCATCAAGATTTGGGACAGTATCAATGAAAATTCCCAGAAAATTCCCCAAATTTGTCTCAAATATTGCACGGGGAGGGGACAGGTGAGAGCAGCAACGTCTCCCATGATGTCACTGCCCCCATGATGTCACGGCAGTGACATCACCATCCCTGAAGCAGATTCAGGATGTCCTCAATGGCTTTTTGGCACTTCTTGGTCTCCACACGGATACTGGAGCTGTTGGCATCAGAACTGAAGATGTTGCTGATGTAATCTTCTGTCCCCAGCTGGTAATCCTTGGCCAGGCAGATGTTGGCCACCCACAGCCACTCGGCCATGGCCACCTTGGCTGGCAAGGCCTTGGGGACATTGGGGGACTCCTCCTCTGTCCCCTCCGTGGTGTCTACGATGTCCCTGAGCAGGCGCTGCAGCTCCTGGCGGAAGGCGGTGGCTTTGTCACACGTGGGCACCAAGCACTCCAGCAGTGTCCCCTCTGTTCCCATCTCCCCCACCCCGTCACACCTCATGCAGCTTCATGCTCACTGGGGACACTTTGGGGATGCTCTGGGGACGATCCAGGAGTTGAAGGAGCCTTGGGATGTCCTCGATGGCACTTTGGCACCGCTCGGCCACCCCACAGGCACTGGGGCTGGCGGGAGCACCATAGAAATAGATCTTGACGATGTCGTCAACTACCCCCAGCAGGTGATCCTTGGCCAGGTGGGCGTTCGCTTCCCACAGCCGCTTGGCCTCAGCCACCTTGTCCACCAAGTCCTCGGGGACATCTTGGGATGCCTCATTTGTCCCCTTCAGGGTGTCCTCGATGTCTTCGAGCCGCCACTGCAGCTCCCGGGGGAGGGCGGTGGCTTTGTCACACGCGGCCACCAAGCGCTCCAGCAGCCCCAGGGCCACCTCCGCTAACTGTCTCTCCTTGGTGGCCCTTGTTGCCTCACTGCCAGCAACCCTGGCATCTCTCCTCACCCAGGCTTCGTGCCCGGCCACCCCCTTGGCCCCCTCCTCCCTGCCCAGGGCCTGACCCAGCTCCACCATGTTTTCCTGAGCTGTCCCATCACGGGCAGCCTTGTCCTGCCGGTAGCGTGCCAAGGAGGTGATGGTGATCGCCATGTCGGCCGCCTCAGTGACCACCTTCCACCAGAGGCTGCGGAGCTTGGTGGCCTTCCCAGATAGCTTGACCCACCTCTCCATGAGCACGTCCACCAAGCCCTGCCACATCATGGCCTCCATTTTCACATGGTCCCAGGCGGTCCATGGGGTGCTCTTGTGGGCAGCCAGGGCCTGGCTCAGGGAGGTGACAGGGTCATCACCATCGGAGGTGACAATGTCGGGCCACCAGGTGTCATCAATGCACTTTATGGTGGCCCGGAGCTCCCTGGTGAAGTCCTCCAGGTCCCAGTTCAGGCTCTCTGCAGACTTGGGCAGCAACATCATCTCATCCCGCCTGGGCAGAGTGGCCAGCAGCTCATCCAGGATGGCCACCACAGTGACCTGTGGCTGCAGCAGGGCTGGGGACAGCTGGGGAGGGGACAGGGGAGATGTCAGGGACCTGGTGGCACTTGTGGCCTCCTGGGGAGTCCCCTGTGCTCTCCTGGAGTACCCTTTGTCCCCTCCCTGGAGGGCTCTGCTGCCTCCTCTTTATCTTTGTTACCCTCTCATCCCCTCTGCCACCCACTGCCACCTCCTGTTGTCCCCCGTCTCCACTCCTCTGTCACCCTCTCCTTTCCTACTATTTCCTCCTGTCCCTTTGTGGTCTCCTGTCACCTCCTGCCACCCCCGTGTTCCCTCCGTCCCCCACTGCCCCCTTTCACCAGCCCCCGTGTCCCCTCTGTCACCCCACTGCCCCTTTCACCAGCCCCCGTGTCCCCTCTGTCACCCCACTCTCCCCTCTGTCCCCTCCCCCGCACCACTCTGGAATTGTCGCACCTTGAGGGGCTCCATGGCCCTCCTGTGTCCCAGGAATCTTGAACTTCGTGGGCCCAGGGAATCATGAATTCCCTGTGCCCAGGAATCCTGAACTTGCTGTGCTCTGGGAATCCTGAACCTTCTGTGCCCCAGGAATACTGAATTCCGTGTGGCCCAAGAATCCTGAATTTCATATGCTCCAGGAATCCTGAACTTCGTGTGCCCCAGGAACTGATCTGTTTGTGTGCTCTGGGAACCCTGAACTTTGTGAGCCCCAGGAATTCATCTGTGTGTGTGCTCCAGGAATCCTGAATTTCATGTGCCGCAGGCATCCTGAATTTCCAATTGTTAAATACGAGAGCAGGCTCCCGGTACTAAAAGTGATTTTAGCATCTATTATAAGAAAAAGAAAGGCCTAAAGCAAGGGGGCCTGCGGGCCGAGCAGGAGCATTCCTGTCTGGATGCTGCAGTGCCAGCACTGGGTCTTCTTCAGCAGCGATGTCCCTGATGTCCCAGATGGAGTGGCACAACTTCCCTGGGTCAGAAGCCCCTTTTTATCCTGTTTTTTGTCCCTTTGCATTGGTTTCTTTTTGGATCCTTCATTTGCATGAAGGTTTAAGGTGCTTGGTTGGCCCATTACAGTTCTGGCCAGGCTGGCTTATTTCGCTGGAGGCATGCTGCATTTTACTTAGGTGTGTTATGGTGCCTTGAGAGCCGTATCTCTTATATCTACCCTTTTAAACCCTTTTACAATCTCCCAGAAATTAGAATCTCGATTTGTTATATGTTTCAAATATTAGGATAAGGTTTCTATTGCCCAGGACAGGTTGATATAATCTCCTAAGCATTCAAACATTTTCTCTTTTTCACTGTATCCACATCTGCTTTCAGTTTTTTCTACTGACCAATATGAATGGGGGATTTCTGGGATCCACGAGGTGTGTGTGTCATTTGTTGCCTGATACCATTTACATGGCATTTCTCCTACTTCTAGAGGATACATTTTCCCTTTTTCTTGATAAACACTCTTCCCCTATGATTATTGATATAAGCTTTCACTCTCCTTCCCTCGTTCTGGGTACTCTCATGCTTTTTTTGGATGGAATCCATTTTGAAATGTCTAGGGGACCCAAACTGATAGCGTCCCATGGCCAAATTTCACTTAAGTGTGTTTCCCCGCCCACCCAACAATCAGTCAAATCCTTTCATAAACTTTTCCACCATATGAATAAAAATATTCTTGCCATATATTTGTCCCTCTCTATCCCTTTGTCTTTTCAATTGCACTTCTTTCTCTTTGAATGTATGCTCTAAGTGCAAAATGAAACCACTGACAGAGTCGTAAGACAACCTGACACCCTGCTAGTGAGGGCGGTGGTAGCAGCCCAGATGAAATGGTCTTGTTGAAGTGGTGAACCCCTAGAAAAGATCTGGCAGCTCTTGTCCTCTGGAAACCAGTGGGTAAGGGCTGCCTGTTCTGTCCCAAAGCCCAGATTATATCCAGGTGGGGATGCTGAGCTCCTCCCCCTGGGCGGAGCCTCTCACAATGGGCTGATGTCGTTCTGAGTCATGATTGGTCCTTGATTGCCCATTAAAGAGCAATGGCTCCTGGAGGGAGTTATCTCTGAGTCATGGGCAAGGCATTGATGGACGCATTAACAGGAAGATCAGGAAAACACAATGCCCCTCCTGGTTTGAACAGCTCTTGAGGACAGGAATAGAATACATCGTTATATTGTAAAATATTACATAATCCACTCCTTATTCTATTACCTTCTGTACACAAACCAATACGCTCTTACAGATATATAGATACATAAATATCTATATATATGTATATATACGTATAAAATACAGAATCAAACTTTACACACAGTTTTCACTTTAATTTAGGTCTCCTTGTGGTACACGAGGGGTTTCCCCGTCCTCCTGCATTGCCCACCAGTGTAACCAGGTCCTTGAGCAAAAACCTTGCTGCCTCATGTTGGGCACCAAAATTATGTTCTGGTTTGAAAGCAAAACCAGTGAGAAACTCCAAGTCAGAAATACAATTAGGAAAAAGGGGGAAAAAACCAACAAACATGCAATTATACAAAATGAAACCACTGACAGAGTCAGAATACAACCTGCGGAGCCTCTCACAATGGGCTGATGTCGTTCTGAGTCATGATTGGTCCTTGATTGCCCATTAAAGAGCAATGGCTCCTGGAGGGAGTTATCTCTGAGTCATGGGCAAGGCATTGATGGACGCATTAACAGGAAGATCAGGAAAACACAATGCCCCTCCTGGTTTGAACAGCTCTTGAGAACGGGAATAGAATACATCTTTATATTGTAAAATATGACATAATCCACTCCTTATTCTATTACCTTCTGTACACAAACCAATACGCTCTTACAGATATATAGATACATAAATATCTATAAATATGTATATATATGTATAAAATACAGAATCAAACTTTACACACAGTTTTCACTTTAATTTAGGTCTCCTTGTGGTACACGAGGGGTTTCCCCGTCCTCCTGCATTGCCCACCAGTGTAACCAGGTCCTTGAGCAAAAACCTTGCTGCCTCATGTTGGGCACCAAAATTATGTTCTGGTTTGAAAGCAAAACCAGTGAGAAACTCCAAGTCAGAAATACAATTAGGAAAAATCCTCTCACAATGGGCTGATGTCATTCTGAGT